TTGTTTTGAGGTGGACCAAGTTATTTGTCATGCCATTAATGAAACCCCACGAAAATTAATTTATATGGATGCTCTGCAGAAGGAGAAGGTACGTCGTATTACAAAAGGGGGAATCATTGTGGTCACTTAAAATCCCTATAAACTTACATCCGCCTTGAAAAAATGGTAAATCGTTTGAAACCTATGAACTGTGTTGTAGGCGATTATGTAGGACGCGTTCACACCACTCTTTTAAACATGCTTTCTGTCCTGTTACAATTATCACGACAAGTCCGCACCAAACGGAGAAACCACTGGACTCGAGTTTTGTTCCCACCGGAGCTCATCAGAAGTGCATTTCCTTGGAAGTGCCGGGTGTGAACTCCGCACATCTTACATGCGAGGTGACCGCGTTACCACTAACCCACGCATCTAAACTCATTCAGAGATGATTATTCAGATGCGTACAGCTGTTGGAATAGTGCTTGCCTCAAGTATCAGGTGTGCGGAGTCCAACCCTCCGCACGGCTAAAGATATTCACTGCCGATGAGCTCCGGTGGAATCACAGGAGTTCAGTACTTCTTCGAGTTCAGTACTTCTTCCGTTTGGTGTGGGCTCACTAGAATAATTACTCGAGAATAACTGTTCAACCGAGAGTGACGTGTATGCGGAATTTGTTGTGTTTCGGTTCATATAAAGGAGCAGTTAAACGATCGAACGGCATTCCTGACTCAGACTTACTGTCGTGGTTTTACCAAGGTATATAGCCGATCGTTCTCCTTTTATTCTGACTGATGAAATGGTTACACGATTTTATGCGATCATCCACTTGTTTCAAATACGTTGCAAGTTCTGCTTGTTGTCCGAAAATCTACTCTACACAGGCTATGGTTGACGGATACATTAAAATACATCAGGTAACTCGGAATGAGAGGGATGGCTCGAAAATACCTACTGATCTATTCTTATTTCATATTATTTTGCCACGAGACCCTTATAAGTTTCACACTAGTTGTCTAGTCACCAATGCTCCGAGAAGAGGCCGTCTTGTGGTTCAAATGTACCGACATTTAAGACATCGAAATTCTTTTTCAATACGATGCTAACCATGAAAATTATACGATAAATAGGTGCAGAAAAAGAGAATGATGAAAAGTTGAAGAAGACGCCTTCCTTATGGGTCGCAGAAGAAAGAAAGTAGCACTCGGTTTCTGGAGGATTTTCACTGGCCTTGTAAGAAGGTCGTTTCCAGTAATTTTCTCTATCACACTGTGTACCTAATGTTGATGGCTCACCGTCAGCAAACTGTTCACCAAGCGCAACAAAAGTTTTCACAATTGCGGTATCATAACTGGAAAGTACGATATCTTAGGTAAATCTGCTTCGAACATCCCAAAAAATGTTTAACAGAGTCGTTGTACATGGATTTTATTTTATGCATTCGTACTAGACTGCCACAAAAATAAGGCGAGAACGCTTATAATTGATTTATAACACTCTTGTGAGAAGTTCGGCGCTCACCTTTATTACCGTAGTATATTATATTGAATATCGTTGTGAGTGCAAATCATGGTGATAAATGTCTGATAAGTGCCCAACATTCTTCCTGACGTAAAGGTCTTCCTGAGAGTACGCAAGGTAAAATTCAGTTAACTATAAAACCGGGCTTCTACATGTGCGCTCATTAAACACTGTCATCTTTTCTGCTCTAGGTATATGTTTAATGCATGTTTATACCTGTCTTCCACTGGATGGAAACATCGTTTCTGGAGATGACCAAGGCATGTTCATTTTCGCCATGAACTACAAAACGGAACTTGTACTCTCAATGTCGTAGTGGCAGAAAACTTGCTTCTATTGTCAAAATGGATATAAACCATCAAATTGTCCGGAATGGAAATAATTAGGTGCGATCGACTAGAATCTTCTCTCTCATTTGTGTCTGTAATCAGGGTGTAGCAGTTTTCAGAAAGTTTGTAATAATTAAACTTAGAGAACGTGTTTCTGAAACTACCTGAAAGGATGGGTTGTGTAACTGCGGAATGGATTCACAGCAGTTTTTCTTATATCAATGTTACTTCAGTGATCTCGGAGTGTCGCTGTCAGTTATGTAATGCTACTACAAATTTTCCAGATGGTGCTGAACTCTCGATAAGTAACTCGTCTTTACAAATACCAGAAGTTTAGTCAAATGCAGCCCCATCATACACCTTCCAAATAGAAAACCCAAGAAGGCTAGAGCATACCGGGTAGCCGATGAACCAATTAGACCATGTTCTATTACGCGAGTTTAGCAGGCCATGGGCAAACGTAGAGGCACACTTTAGCTTTATCCTCATCCCTCATAACCCCTTGATAGCTGCTAATAAAGACTTCAGCGAACGTTTCCTCATCCGTTCTGCGTCTGAATGTAAATTTCTTTTGTGCATTTACATACCTATGATATTTAACCCAAGAGTTCAAAATCCCATCGTGTGAATCAAGATCAGATGCTCACGGTATCAATGTCGAGTCCACCTCTTACACGCACAAAAAGATCCCACATTATACCGGACAGCAAATCCTTAAACCAAAACGAGTGCTTTTGCGTAATATTCTCCCATCGTGAATCGCGAATCCTCACGAATTTTCCCACATAAATTTTCACTGAAAGGTGCAGCTGTAACTCTGCAAGAAACTACTAGATCAATAAGCCCATCCGATCTGATAATGATTTTTGCCAGCTGCATTGTAACTGTCAATATAGGCTTTCAATACCGAGGTATCAAATGTGTAACGATGTGGATCCCCAGTACTTTAGCTTGCACTTGGTAATTACGCGGAACGTTTTTTCGACAATTAACTAAGCGTTTTGTCTGAATGGTCACTTAGGCGACTTTTGCCGAAGGTAAAATTGGAGTAGTTCGGGTTGTGTATTGTCATAAGATGGTATTTGAGCAAATGTTATTTCTCTTGTGTCTTAAGTCTTATGTCAGTTCCACCGATATGAAGTTTCATCACAGCTACAGGTGATTATGTAAGTACACTGGCTACTTGCCAGAACAGCTGTGACGTTTAGATAGACGATAGATGTTATTTTTAAGGAATCAGCAAACCTTACTACCTTTAAAGTTATTTGATTTTTCGAAATATTTCATCTAGTCTACATATCTATCTTGCTTTATAGAGTGAGTTACGACATACTGGACAAGTGAAATTGGTTAGTCTACGGTGCCCTTCAATTCATCTTCCACAAAGCTCAGCGGTCACCTATGTTTGCTGGCAAGATGGTATCCAAACCCTAGCCAACAATCCTACTGAGGTTTGTCGTTTGAAGGTACCAGGTCACGTGCACCAACGTTCGCAGTTATTCCGAGCTCTTGGTGTCCATCGGGAAAATGTCCACCATCCTGAGAAGTACTGTGATAAACTGGGTCTTTCGCATCATTAATATCAGCGAACTTCGGGATAAGGCGTTCCCAAGCCACCTTCTTTCAACAAGCCAGTACTTTCAAACATGTGACTCATTCTAGTGCCTGCCCTGGTGACCTTGATGATCCGCATACAGAGACGCACGCTGAAGGCTATTTCTATGTGATGAATAACACTGATCTGCTTCTCAAATACTCAGAAAAACATTTATTCTGACTACTCAAGGACGTTATTGTTCAACACATCAGTACGAACAGAATACACTTGTTTAATCATTGGTAAACAGCACTCTGAATGCGGTGCGTATATCTGCGGTCTTATAATTCATGAAGAGCAACCCTTATTCGCGTTATCAGCATACCCTGCGGATCCCGGGAGAAATTCTCCATGTACTTCTGTCGCACGTTTGTTCTGGTAAATTGCTTGACCACGGTGAGTAAGGGACCAGACGAAAGAACACACCATCGCCGTATCTTTTTCATTGAATGTGCATTCCACTTCACTTACCATCTTACGGCAATGCACAACAGGAACTACTCCAATTTTACCTCTGGCAAGAGTCACCTCAGTGTACACTCAGACAAAACACTAAGTTGATTTTCAAGAAACGTTCCGGGTCGTTGGCAGATTTATTCGAAAGGAATAGCTGATGACCTATCCCATTACTTCTTTTCATAGTTGATTGTGCTTATCCTGCTGCTTCTCTGGTATCGAATACGTCTGTGCTTTTACGAGGCCCGCGGATACGTACCAAATAAAAGCTGAAATACACTGTTTATTCGATGCCGCATCCCCTCTTGCTTCTCACATAGCTTAAATTGCTTTTTGCGTACAAGTGACTGTCGAACAACCCAAATAACTGATGTGGTAGAAACTAGTCGTATTATGCTCTTGCCCCTGGTGAGCGACTTCAAATAGAATGAAAGCTTGCTAAGCAAAGTGCTGTGTGCGAGCAACCTCCTCTCAGTTCTCCTGTTAGTGCGTACCGTACCCTGACATTCCATGAAAAATCAAGCGACAGACCTTTGTAGCCAATTCTGCCACGATATTCGACTTGACACAGGTAGTCCGTTTTCGCCCTAGGTGGGGACTAGCAGTGTAAATAATTCTCTTGGTTGCCTATCAAGCGTGTACCGCTTGTTCGGTCTAACTAGGGAATAAAGGTTGCTTACAGATTAGCAGACTGGCTTGTCGTAAGCTGTAGATGCAAATTGCACATGCATCCATTGGACGTACGGATACCAACCGAATGTTATCAGCAGAATAGGACTTGAAAAATGCATACAAGAAAAGCGTGAGACCACTGTAGTACCCCCTGGACACCTTGATTTAATTTCTTTAATTGGATCCCAGGTCATTTTAAAAACCCCATCGAGACCATCTTTCCTCAGTATCATAACGGACGGCGAGGCTTGTTTTCGTGAATTACCGCTACTTAAAACGCCTTTGCTGCATAGACATGAAGCAATGGCTCACGTGCATGCACGCAGTAAAATAGGTGATTTCATATGAACTGAGAAAGGAATAATCAAAGTTAGACAGAATGCATTGTATTTATAGGCTTATGGATACACCAGTAAACATATTTCTGACATTATTCGTATGTTTACTAGGACGCTCTGAAAAGGAGAATAAAAATATTGATGAATGACGTTTTGCATACACGAAGGATTACTTGCCATCGACGTTTACTCTGGTCAAAGGTTTTAGGTTTTAACCAAAGCTAATCGGAGGGTTTCCAGACCACTATTTTTCAAGATGACACGATTAGAACCAAAATGAACAAATGTGACGATGTTTGAAATTTTTAATTGTATGTTATTTCATTTACTTGAAGCAGTTTGAATTAAACCTAATTGAGAAGTACATCGTTTGATGTCCTCAACACACCTTATCAGATGATCCATCAGTAATGATATTAGAGGCTTACCTTGTTTGACAACCGGGAGTGTTGGGTTGGCAGACATATGGCATCAGATTATATCGACATCGTGGAAATCCGGTGTTGAGTTCGTTCAAAAGCCTCACAAACCAAGGCCTTGTTATCGGCTCCGTCAAAGTGATAACGCTCAGTCGCACAAGCTCTGTGTGCAAAGGCTTTTCGTAACTTCCAACATAATGACAACTATAAATGCGGACTCGCCCCAAAAATACTCGGTTCTTGATCTGAAATACATAAAATACTGAGCAAAGTTGAGGGTTCAGATAATACATATCAGAAAGTTCTGTTAGGCCGCAAGCTGAAGTTTCCAAGAAGCATGCTTGGAAGAAACACTTGAAAAGTTAATCCACTTCCGACCTTCAAAATTTCAAAGTGGTTAAAAACACTGCAGCCTAACTGTGAATGGTTATGGGCTACGGAACTACGGACATACATTTTCACAAAAGTCTTCCTTGTTAGTCCCGGCTACAGTAAACGCTGAAACCGATGGCATTTGTAAATGTGTGGATGTGTAATCCTGAATAAGTGTAGCTGATATTAGGTGTCTGGGTAAATTGACGCTAATCGCTCTTCTCGATAGATTTTTTGGGTTCCAAACAAGTGATAACATGATGTGCATTGAATTAAAATGTTAGATCCTACATCACATTTAAAGCTGACATCTTTTAAACCTATCATACTGTCCAGTTAACACATCTTATTCTTCGTGTATCCTCACATAGGAAAGGGGGATATTCACTTGCCGTTTTCTTTCCGGAGAAACGTTACGTTCATGTAAACAATACTTCGACTAAGGGTGGAAGTAACGTAAGATTCGGCTTCAAATGGATGACTAAAAACTAAGACTTACATTGTGCACTGAGCGCTGTGTCGAGGGTGCTAGGACCTAAAATTGAAGCAATTAACTATGAAGTCATCAAACCCTAAAGACAGCTTTTGTGAAAAAAGTTAACAAAGAGAGGCAAACCCACGCGTTCAACCGGTATGGGCAAAGGAAAATTAGTGAGGTACAGATGTAAGTGACTTTAGCTCACCTGCCAAAGTTCGGCATCCTTCAGAATCCAAATTTAACTGTCGATTCAGAACCCAAAGCATGTAAGGGGTTGACAGCTTCTGATGATCTTTTTGTAACATTCGTGAGTCTACGATGGCATGAAAAGTTATCGCACCCCCTTCATTTGCAACAACTGTACAGCTTCTAAATCGCTTGCTTCCCCAATAACTCGGCTTCAGGGCCATTACCTGTAACAAAATAAAGGTGAGTTATAGACAGGAAGTGAGGTAAGTGCATCTTTGAAGAACAGCAGGTAAGGATCTCGTCCAATTTAGGCTCATTAGTTATATGTATATACGGTAGCATGGAAGGGACACGTTTCGAGTCAGATTAAACTCATACTTACGGATTCACACGCATCTTTCCCATAATAAATCGTACAACCTTGATCCATTTGAATCGAAAATCCTGAAGCACAAATTTTTGAACTGACTCAACAAGTACACGGTAAGGAACAAAACACTGCGACACAATCTGGACTCCATAATTATCTCAACACTTAAATGTTCCAACCGCTGCCAGATTCACAAGCATGGTACACATGTTTAGCAAAGCACCAGTACATTCACATCCGTTCACATCATCTGGATGCCGACAAAAACACAGACGTCGAACAAACTTACGGAACAGGGAGCCGTGGAGAAAGTTTGCCAACAAAGCAAAAATGAGGAGGGAATATGTCATTCGCATAGCTGAGGTCCTTTCGTTCACAAGCAAGCTTTGATAATAACGGAGGTTTTATAGTTGTGGTGATCGTACGACAGACATGCACGCTGCGTTCCCGCCTCTTTCTAAATTAGAATGGAACGTTTAATACGATTGGCGCATTCGATTGTTTCAGAAGCTTGCTTGAACGGGTAACTCTGAATCAGAGTTAACCTCTGGTTGGCTGATTCCCTTTGACAGCACTATTATTCGAGACTAGCTAAAAAATAGGTGACACTGACCAAAAGTTTACAGAGAGTAATTCCACAGTGCACTGCTTGTTTAACCCTTCTTGGGTCCCCGCGTTCCGTCGAACTTATGTTTCACTTAAACATCAAATTGTGCGCAACTGACAAGACATCCATCTGAAGAACACGTTGGCGCTAACAACACCTCCAATATCATGCCAGCAGGTCTTTGTACAGCACTCTCATAAGAGAAGTATTTATTTGAGTATCCTGTTAACATCAATTCAATTTGCAAAGGAATCCGTTTCGTCAGTGGATGATTCAGATTTGTGTTTGAAACAATTCAGAGGCCACTCAGTTGTGTTATTGAATGTAACTCTTCCGTAAATACTTTTGACCAAGCGCCATGTGGAGCCTTTGAGATGGTTAGGAGTTAGTCTGGTAAGGTACTCTGTGACGATATGTGTCGTGTTTCGTCTGATCAATGAACGGTAGAATTTAAAGTGAGGTGTGCACGGTATTCTACAGAACTAGTAGCTTAGGGTTGCCAGAAATGCACTTAAAAATATATCAGCCAAACCTATTTACTGAATTAAAGGCGGTGTTTTAAATTAGATTTGTAAGCGAAAGCAGTTGAATGTTTGACCGTGAAACCTCCTGACTGACTGCGTACATTTTACTTGCATACGGTTATTCCACTATGGGCAAGAGAATGGTGGGAAATACTCGTGAAATTTTTAATTCCTACCAACCCTATGCCGAATAAACTTTATGCGGATAACCAGAAAGTACGCAATCATGCCAGTTCTCTATGACACCAAATCAGCTGCTCTAGTAACAGTTATTGTTAAACTGTGTTCTTCAAAGATAAGCAAAAAGATATGTAGATAGACAGCTAGGCAGACGGATGAATAGGTAGGTGAGCAGTCAGAAAGATAGATAAAAAGACAAATTGATGGTAAATTGTTCATATGACACGCAGCACTGAATATGCAAACACATCGGCGTATTCTGACGACAAGTGTATTCCGCACTGAACATTTTCTGGGCAAGCAAAACACAGCAAGCAATTATCATCCAAAAAAGATTCGGAAGTAACGGAGTAGTTAACCTGAAACAAAGCTGCTGCATTGAAATGTAATCTTGTGAATATTTTTAGGCACTCCTAATTTATTAATAATGTGGGGAAATATAGCCGAGGCGGATGATGCGCAAATGGTGAAGAAAAAGTATACGAGATTTTGATGATTGATGTACGGCAGTGGAAATAGAGGTGAGATTCGCCAGTGGAATGGGACTCATGCTTCTTTTGAGAAGACAAAAGTCCCATCTGGTTGAGTTGGTAACTGCGGTCAGAGATCAGTACAAGCATAACTAATATGTTCTAACTGATATACCGTCATATTTGAAGAGCTGCCTCAGCACCAGCAGTATAAGTTTTAAGTAAATTAAGTTTCATTCTATACAAACGTGCAGTTATCGGGATGGTCTATTGGATCTTTCTTATGGGAAAGAACGGAAGGGTGAAACTAAAACTTTAATTCGTAAAAATTCATAGAACCTAGTACATAAAACGAAAAATAAAATGAATAAGATGATGTCTCGCAGTGACCAATAACGGACAAGGACGGTAAAGCAGGTTAAGAAATAAAGTCATTCACATATTCGCACGATTTAGTCCTCTGAAATTCACAGGTACAATGCAAAAATTATTTATATGATTTTGGAACGCATCGGTATCACTGAAAGGGATAAGGAATAGTGCCGTCCCACTTACGTATGCTAGAAGAAGTCGTACCAAGCAGCAAACCATATGTGGAAACAGAACAACCAGCAAAATAACGCTTGGATCTACAAGGTAAGAGTTCAGAATTCATGAAGAGATATGTTTCCAGAAAAGAACGAATGAAGTGAGCTGTTCAAGCTGAAGCCACAATTGTGCTGTAATTTTCCCCACAGAGCAATGATAAGGGGTATTAGTCCGACCCTAGCGAACGGACCTGTTAATATAAAAAGACCATCAATCGTATCAAAAGTTCACCCAGAATACTAGAGGAAACCTGGATCAGAAACTAGTGAGAGAAGTTTTGCCGAATCACAATTTAAAGCTAGGTATACATGTGACAGTCAAGCGTTGAGTAACGAATGTAGGTTATTGAAAACAAAACTGAGCAGGTTGTGCTCAGTCTCAGTAGACGACAAGATCGAAAACAGTTGTACTAAGAAGTACCTAAAAATGTGTATAACATTGGGTGTTCATCAATGTTCTATCATGTTCTGCCATGCTTGTTGAGCCAACTTTCATGTCAATCCTGATAAAATAGGATCTTGAATTGAAGAATACAAAAATTGGAAAGGAAATTCCCCGTGGTCACTAGAAGCGAGACTAATGCGATACATCGAGGTTAAATGAAAGACAAATTTCCGTGAAATTTTTTTCAACTACACCCAGCACATTTCATCAAAATAATGAAATCCAAAAACCCTAGGAATGACAGGAAAACAGCAACCCATTTCGTGAATCAAACGGCAAGGCCAACATAGTGGACTGGTTACCTCATAGGATTTTAGTTGATTTCGTATCGATTAGTTGAAGATGAATCATTGTCGTTTGACGAAAAAAAATTACATTCTGTCAACGTAGGACCCATCAGAAATACCATTCTTTTATATTATTCAGCTGGTTGTGCTGCACAAAGGTCGCCTCAAGTTTCATTTGGAAGGATATCCTTCCATATATTTCCTTCACAGAACACAATGATCGTAAATGAGAAGTTTAGATTAACCTCTAGTTAACTCTTAGGAAAATTGCAACCGTGAATATTTTGTTGATTATTTGAAATCTGAGATTAACTGTGCATGGGGACTATGCGGTGGAGACCAATCGTAGGCTGTCGAAGTTTTCAACAATCTCGTGAGATTTTTGTTCACTTTAAGTCGAACTAACTACATGCTCACCAAAATCCGTTCCATTTTAGTAATCATTTGTAACGAAACCTGGACACGGCATATGCGACAGATTTTGCTAGTTTTTGAACAGATTGTGCATCAGTGTTGCTGACAGGAATATCCTCATTCGTGTGTGAACCTCGGCGTAATTATTATGGCCTTAGTTCGGATCTACAACTCTTCCAGCCAAATATTATTTACTCCGTAATCATATACCCTACTAGTGTAGTGCTCATTAGTATGGCACTCATTTCAAGATCATTTAGCTTGGTTTATGAATCCGCGGCATCAGAACCGCGCTAATAATCGGACACCTCAGAGATTCTCAGAGGCTTCCGTAGAACACAATACGCAAATCTATGACAGTTTTCAAACAAGGTGCTGTGAACTTCCGTAACAGAACTGGTCCTATTCTAGCCATCTGACGCTGCTTTACATTCAAAAGCTGACCATTGAAATTCCGCAGGCACGCTTGACATTGGATACGGAATTCCAATTATTGTTCCATGCATGTAGGGGTTCTTTGTATTCTCATGTAAAGAATTATAAAGCAGCGATTCCATCATTTAAAAACTATTTATTCAGCTATCAATAAATAATATGATAATCCATACACCAATATCTATCTTAGACCATGAAAATAACGCCCCAATCTTCTAATAATGTCCTTGGGAAATAAGAATAAGGGTAATGGTTGTGAGATCGGACCCAGTCGCGTTCGACGCGCTGTAACTTCTTCTCTTAAGGCCACAAATTATTTAGGGTATCCAGCTGTTCAGTGCAAATTCCAGACGAAGTATACTCGCTCTTGCTTTTGCATTGGAGAACAGACCCGTAAATCGATGTGGACAGCCCTAAGCAAGCTCAGAGTTTTCGCATCACCGGCAGACTGGATAATCCGATCAACAGGTTGAGAAATAGGAGAAATCTCATCCTTCGGGCAATGTTGATCTCTCTCGACGAATCGAGAACCATGATACAGCTGTTTCCTCCTCGCTTATAGGCACAATCAACCTTTCACAAATACTCTGGAGAATATGGCTGTACGAGCTCCTGTTTACTACCTGAGATCTAAACTACCAGTACATGAATGGTGGATCTCTACCCGCTTCTAGTCACATTCGTATAACATCATATGTTTCTGGCTAGGGCAACCAGTTTCGGTTTCTTCTAAGGATGGCCTACCCGTATTGTGGGATTGTTTCTACTCGTGAGCATACATTTAACGATTTTTATTGGGTAAACAAAAGTTAAAATATCAGTCATGGTTTTGTCCTCAAAGTGACTTGTTCAGTGTTGATCCGTCACAAAGAGACAAGATTATCGCGGCTTGTGCACCTCTACAACCCAGTGAGGCAGACCGCGGACCTTACCGGTGACAATCAAGAAGGGCGACCAATTCTGTCAATGGGTAGAGGCCTCGCTACCACAGTATCCTGGTCCTTCATGCTAGGGTAGCGGTTTTCTTCTAAAAAATGTAAAGATTTTTGGTGGTCTCGCACTTTTCTATCAATGTATGCTGTCTCCCCACACCCAGGATTCAAGACCCAGG